ATCTGAAGCCAAAGCTGCTGTTGTTTTATTTTCCTTAGTTAAATAAATGTGAGCTCTGCGTTTTGCTGTGCAATTTCATAGCTGAACTTAAATGAGTTAACACCTACTTTCTTCAGGGATCTTTCAGGTGAAGGTGTATTTGATATCATTTCGGATGTCTTGCAGAGTCAAGATAGAAAGATTGTTTCAGCTGGGTACTTACCAAGCAATTGTTATTAAATTGCCATAATGCAGTTTGATTTGTTCTAACCCCTACCTGAATTTTATTTGACAAATGCAGGACAGATGTCCTCATACTTTTTCTTAATCAGGACCCCAACCTACTGAGGTCATATATTGTCCAACAAGAAGGGAATTCTCTTCTTGGACTTCTGGTAAGGGTCCGTTTGGTATTGCGGTGGATTATGATAATCTCGTTTGATTTCAGAGCTTTTAGACATTTTGGTGTTTGGCAAATTTCTTTCCTTTGAATCTACGTTGTAAACGATAATATTATTGCAGACTGAAAATATGAAACAACTAGGGAAGACGTGAAAAGTTGGATACCATATTTCATCTAATTATAATTCGATCTGTGAAACAAACTACAACAATTATAAGTTCTATTTTTCACTGCAACTTAAAAAGTAAGCACAGAGCAGCACAGCTCACCACAGCAACCACAAGCTGAGCATAAGCTACAGCTTCTTTCAGGTATGTGTTACTGTTGTTATGAATGTTATTACCTCTGTCCACAAATATAAGAATTTTTGGAGTATTATTTTTCCCAATCTAACCATCCTTCAAGATTCTGTATTTATTACTGCATCTTTGGGAGTGGTCTCGTCAAGTGAACTTCCATGGGCATCAATATAATTTCACTTCAACCTTAATCTCTGTTAAAACTCCTAAAAAATGCCTATATTTGTGGACAGGGGAAATAATTCATAATGAGGAGAATAAGGACCTTGCAGAGGAGTCTGGATCACTGGATGGATATGGACCAATGACTAATGGGGGAGGGATATTAGGAGAAACTTGAGACTGTCTAGGACTATGGACTTTTGGGAGATAAAATACTTAACTCTGAATTACGCACACTTCTCCATATATGGGTGTCCAACTATTTGATCTAAAGACAATAAATCTTACAATATACAACAGATTTATCTAAACACACATATCCTAAAGCCATCCCTTATCTGTAACTGAGATGGGTTAACAGACAACAGTCTTTCTGCAGTGATTTACTATCGTACCATGTACACTGTTCACTACTGGCCACAACTTGGGCAATTTGTTTACCTATATATTGGAAACTTGCTGGAACCGAACCTGTCATTATTTTATGTGGTGCTTTTGCTGTTGTCCGTCAGTGCTGCATTGCTGCCTTTAATATGTTTCATTTCAGAAGGCCACATCAAATTTATATTCAATCACTATCTTACTAAAGTGTATTTCTGGTCACTTAATTTCAGGTCAAAGGAATGGTAACTGACTTCGGTGAGGCAATGCACTGTCAATTTCTGGAAATTCTTCGTATTTTGATGGATTCTTTTACCATGTCTGGAGCACATGTAAGTTGTAATTTCTGTCGAAGTAGGTGTGAAGGTCATATGTTATCTGCATTCCTCAAATAAAATGCGCAGCTATGTTGTTATGAAAACTGAGGAAAAAAATGGTTGTGGACATCACACTTACCAATATTTGGATGCATCTAGTTTTGATGGATAATTTCTGTCATGATCTGGCCATAATAAAGCCAATTCAGAATGACAGAAACTTGCACCTGTCCTTTTTATTTAGCTCGTACTAACTCTTATTCCCTCTGGTGCAGAGAGATGCTGTTATTGAAATTTTCTATGAAAAGCATCTTGACTATTTGGTTGATGTAATAGCATCATCATGTCCTCCGAGGAACATTTCCAGAGCATCTAACTCTGCTGGAAATACCGAAACTGAAGTGAATCGCACTAAGCCTGAAATTTTGTTAAATGTTTGTGAACTATTATGCTTTTGCATAGTTCATCATCCCTACAAAATTAAGTAATGTTCCATGCTTCCACTATTCCAAGAGTACTTCTGTTATAATTCTTATGCACCTGCTAATTGCACATTATATAATCGTGTAGGTGCCACTTTCTAATCAACAATGCAATAGAGAAAATCCTTGCCTTGACTCGACGGAGGGAGAAGTTTTTGGTTGTTGCAGCAGTTAGATTTATGCGAACTACTATATCGAGAAATGTAAGGTGCTATTGACTTTATAAACTTTTTTGCACTTGTTTTGACTGGTGATGGAAATTCAGCACTGGGAAAATGTAAAGTTCCCTTAAGTTATTTACTTCTGCATTTACGAAATACTCCCTCCTTCCCATATTGATCATCATGTAATATAATCCAAAATTTCTCAATTTGATTATCATATAACCGCATGGACACGGATTTCATTAGAATACAATTAATGCAGTATGGGGGAATGTGTGCATGCTAGGGTGTAATTGGCATGTGGTTTTAATCGATGCATGCATTGTGGGAGAATGTGTGCATTGTGTCTTGATTGATGTGATTTAAATTGTACTTGGTCTTAGTGCATAAACTTATATGATGATCAATTTGGGAAGGAGGGAGTATATGGAATAGTGGAACATTCTTAATCATCCAACAATTCAATCCCTTAATGCATCAAAGAGTGGTGGTAATTGCATGCCCTTCCATTTTTCACTACGTATCGTGTACTATTACATGTTTCCTACCTACAAAGTTGCTATCCTCAGGGTTTGCATCTTGTATTTATGCACAATTGTTACCACTTGATGTATTCAACATGCCTATGGTTCTGCTTGAATTTCAGCATGCCACTTCTGCGTGAAATTTACAGCTTGTTCCTTAAATCACATCAGTCCAGTAGTTATCATGGTCTGATTACATCTTTACATAATTATCAGTAAAAATAGTTGGTAATCTTATGTGTGTATATATATTTTACTCTTTAAAAGAGAGAGTTGGGTGGTGATGGTAGGTTCTACACCTACCTATCGTCAGGATCTTTTGTAGCTGCAAATATGCACTCGTATATGTGTTATTTGTAAGAACTTCTGTAGAAAAATATTTCATCTTTGCACATGAATATATGTAGGCGGCCAATTGGTCTTTTATATGATCAGATATAGAATTTCAAGAGTTAAGGATAATTAAGTTATTGCATTTTATATTTTAGACTTGTATGTTTTACTTGGACCAGCAACTATATCCTGATTCGAAGGGATAGAGTAAATTCAAACAACTTGCTATAGTTTTTCGGATCACAGTTAATATTTCTTTCTTCTTGTAGGATGATTTTCTTATTCGTCATGTTGTCAAGATGAATTTGTTCAAACCAATAATTGACGCCTTTGTTGAAAATGGGGATAGATATAACATGCTACAGTCAGGAGTACTCGAACTTTTGGAATACATACGGAAGGTACACGTTCAGAACTACCAGGTAGTTGATATGGTTTTTTGTTTGCTCAAAGAATTCTTTCTTTTGCAGGAAGGTCTAAAACAACTTATTATATATGCCAATGAGTCCTTTTGGGATCAACTTATGAAGTTTGAACACTTTGGGAGTATTCAGGCCTTTAGACTTAAGTATCAACAGGTTGGGCCTTTTCTTGTGTACATTTCTGTCTTGATGCGGCATCATGGACAGTTCCAATTTAATCAAACAAAAAATGACAAAATGTGACTTAAGATTTTAGATCTGGAACACAACGAAAGCAATCTGAGATTTATTTTTTCTGAGCTGAAATTTTAGTTGTGTTTATCAAATATGAGCTATTGGGAAAATCTTTGGGTGCAACTTAGGTATCCGAAAACATAGATTTCTGTTCCATGCAGGCCTTTCAGCCCATTCATTTGGTTTGTGATGTTTAGTTAATTTTGCTTTCAGATAGGCCCCTATTGGTTGTATTGCTATCTGACTACTAATTTTCTGCTCAGTACCTCATCATTATGTTTGCTTTCAAATGAGATGGTCTTTTTGTTTGGTTATTGCAAGTACTTGGAGAGTGCTGAAACGAAGTTAAGTGCCAATGTACCTGATATTAGAAAGAAAGCGGAAGAAAGAGGCCTTGAGAAGGAAGAGGAAGACTATTTCAATGAGGACAGGTTTGCTGTCTCCCTCTCTTTTTTTTTTCCACTTTAGTCATTGAATGCTTCACTTTTTGTTTATAGGAAAATGGCACTCTTTTGCACTAGAGCATTCTATTTCAGTGTTCATGAATTGCATTGTGGTATGTAAAATGATATGATAATTACTCTTTCTTAGCGACGAAGAAGATTCAGTCCGGCGGACGAAACATGCTCAGAAACAAGATGGTGGGGCTAAGTTAACTAATGGCAGTGAAGCTGATGATGTTTCCTCAAGGTATTCTATTTCTTCCACTTTTATCAATGGCAAGCTGTGAAATCTTATCTTCAAAATTCCAAAAGTTCTGAAGTTTAATTTGTTTATGTTGCAGGCCTAAATCTGGTGGACTAGTGGATTATGCTGATGATGATGATGAGGACTTCAATCCTCCACCTAAGGAGCCTGACAGGCCTGAAGAGGATGATGAACCCCTAACTATAGCCAAATTGAAGCGAAAGTTAATGAATAGTAAAGTGGATGGCAAACAGTCTGATGGGGAGTTCCACAAGAGACAAAAGATAGAAACGAGAATTACTAGTGTTAAGATTGGAGCTTCGACTAACCTGGTTAGTAAACGCATGGATGATTTAGAGAAGCAGGAACCCCGTTCACCTGCCTCAAGTTCGTCAGGCTCTGAAGCCAATGGCGTTTTTGGGGAGCATAGTGTTCATTCTGAGGAGCATCAACGTTCTGCAGACAACACAGAAGCATCACGGCAAGCTGGTGGTGATTGTGTCAATGCCATGGGCAATTTGTCTACTGAGAAGTCAGTAAATACCACAAATACGAATGATTCAGAGCCTTATTCAGTGAGATGACAAAGTGATATCAAGAAACGGTTTATCCCTAACCCAAACCATCAATGCTTGCCAACAAGAAGGAACCACGATGTGTTCCGCTTCAGAGAAGGCCAAAAACATTGCTCCAGAGAAGGCCAAATAGAGTAATCTCAAACCTGATGCAAATGGTTCAAGGTGATGTAGATCGCTCTTACCTGTATATGTTGCGTGAAATTGCAGCAACCATTTGTGAGCCTGTAAAGTTAACTGTCCGCAAGGATTAGATCTGAACAACTGAGAGTTGGCATGCCCTTCGGTTCAGCATTGACACGAGCCACGCTCCTGATGATGCATAATTATTTCTATAAATATGAGCTTCTGGAGAAGCAGTGAATATGTGCTCTTCTCCATTATTTCTTTCTAGTGTCATTGGCTGAGATGTGACTGTTGTAAAACAAATAGGAAGGAATAGTTTTTCTTTTTTAATTGAGCACCATTTTGCAGCAGTTTGTGCCCTCGTATCGGTATCATACACAATTGTAATTCGTTTATTCATAGTTTTGCAGGGTATACTTTGTCTTGGATGTTCATATGTTTTTCAACTCAAATCAACAACCATATCTTGAATCTGGCCAATGGCTACATTGTTTTGCTTATGCTTCTAATACTGTGCTCGGCACGGATGCTATAGTGACAGCACTAAAGATGCGAGTATCTCGAGTATCTGGAGAACTGGTTTCTAGTTTTCTTACAGTAATTCGGTGGGGGTTCTCATTGCCTGTTGCACCTGCTTTGTCGGTTACCAATTTACAGTTCATCTTCCTTTGCTAGATTCCATTCCTAATGGTCCCGATTCCTCTTCGGAAGATTCACGCTGTCTTGTGAGTTCTGAACTGTTCTTACAAGGTACACCTTTGCCATTCCTTGCTCTTTAATTTGTTTATGTTTCGTTTCGTTTCTTTCCTTGTTTGTTGTTTTGTATTTTTGTGTTTGGCATGGAACTCTCAGGTGCTAGCCTGAATAAATACAGATAATCAAAATGATTGTTTACTCCGTGCGATTGTCACGCAACATTGTTCTCTATGACCATACAGACGTGCGTATGCTGTGTGTGATTGTGCTTCAGCTTGCTCTTCGTTCACTTGAATATCAATCCTCCATGGGCGGCAAAGAATGGCGCGAAGACGAGAGATTCGACGGCCATGAGCTTGATCAAGATGTTGAGCGACGGCCCGGATGTGTCCTTGAGCGGGTCGCCAATGGTATCGCCGATCACCGCCGCCTTGTGAGCGTCCGAACCCTTGGGACCAAGTGCCTTTGCATGGTCGGATGCACCTGCCTGCGTTTCCAATTGGGGAGAACAAAAGAAGTGCACAGTTTCAGATGGAAATATCTCGAAATGTTTCATATTTCAATTGAAATGGAAAAATGTCTGAATTTAAAAGTAGAGTCAAGTCATCAGATTACCTCGATATATTTCTTGGCATTGTCCCAGGCTCCCCCACTGTTGGAAGCAGATATGGCAACCTACGAAGAAACCAAAAACGTCAACAATTCAGCTCAGTGTCATCATGCAGAACGTACACGCTGCTACTCCCTACTACACTACCTGCACGCCGGAAACGAGCGCGCCGGCGAGGAGGCCGGCGAGCGTCTGGACGCCGAAGAAGGTGCCGGCGACCAGCGGCGCGAGCAGCACCAGCGCCCCGGGGGGCATCATCTCCCTGAGCGACGCGTCGGTGGAGATCCTGACGCAGCTGGCGTAGTCCGGCGTGGCGCGCCCCTCCATCAGCCCCGGGATGGCGGCGAACTGCCGCCGCACCTCCTCCACCATCTTCAGCGCCGCGCTGCCGACGCTCTTCATCGTCATCGCCGAGAACCAGTAGGGCAGCATCGCCCCCACGACGAGCCCCACGAACACCTTGGGGCTCAGCACGTTGATCACCGCCATCCCCGCCCGGCTCACGAACGCGCCGAACAGCGCCAGCGACACCAGCGCTGCCGATCCGATGGCGAATCCCTGCAAGCACATATTAAACCATGTTCATCTTGATCACGAGTTATTCCACGTAGCCGATCAAATTCCTCAGTGTCGTCTACCTTGCCGATTGCGGCGGTGGTGTTACCGGCGGCGTCGAGGGCGTCGGTTCTTTGCCGGATCCGGTGGCTCATGCCGGCCATCTCCGCGATCCCACCGGCGTTGTCGCTGATCGGCCCGTAGGCGTCGATGGCGAGCCCGGTGGCGACCGTGCTGAGCATTCCCAGCGCAGCGACAGCAATGCCGTAGATGGAGGCAAGCGTGAAGCTGACGTAGATGGACACGGCGATGGCGAACACTGGCACGATGACGGACTTGTACCCGAGGGCGAGCCCGAAGATGACGTTCGTCGCCGCTCCGGTCCTGCAGGAGTCGGCGACGTCCCTCACCGGACTGCACGAGGATTTTGGGCAAAGTCAAGCACTCTGAAAACCTTTGTATATCTTTCATTCTTACAAAATTTTCTGTACTAGAATTTTACTGTAGCAATTCCGGCACACTGTGTGCAAGTGAAATTACCTGTAAGCATTGCTGGTGAAGTACTCGGTGGTGAACCCGATCGCGAGACCTGCCCAAAGCCCGATTGTGACGCAGAAGAACAGATGCCTGCCATTATCATCATTGCCATTTACCAATGCTGAACTTTCCATATATCCGTGCCAAAATGTACATGGAGCAAGGGGCGATACACTGTTTTTGTTCATACCAGTTCTTGACTCGCTTCACCTCTCCAAAGTCGAACATGGTGAACTCGTGGGGGAGGGCTGTGAAGGTGACGACGAGGACGCCGACGGTCATCAGCACGGTGGAGATGAGCAGCTGCAGCTTCAGCGCCGGCGCGACGCCGTCGACGGTCTTGACCCTGTAGAGGTCAGTGGCGAAGAGCGTGGTGATCAGGCAGACAATGAGGCCGGCCGAGCTTATCAGCAGAGGGTACGACACTGCCGCGAAGTTGTGGTCAGCGCCGAACGACGAGATGGACCCGACGAACAGCGCCGCGCAGGTGGACTCGGCGTAGGAGCCGAACAGGTCGGAGCCCATCCCGGCAATGTCGCCGACGTTGTCACCCACATTGTCAGCGATCACCTGCACCAACACAAAATGAGCAAACCTTCACAATAATTTACGGCAACAATATTGCTTCCAACTTTAATGACCACATTTTCCGTCATTAATATTTTTCTTATGTAGTCACTAGTACAGATCCGGCCATCCTTAACAAGTCATTTGTGTCGAGCTAATGCGACCCGTTTCGGTTCAAAAAGTATCCCGTTTAATATATGACTATCGGGGATGATCCGTCACCGATATAAGTCATTTTTGTCGGGTCGTAGTTCTAACACGTCACGGATGACCTATAAAGGGTCACAACCATGCCCCGTCACCGATTTAAAATCATTTTTGTCGGGCAATTAAAAAGCTTTCAGATAAATTGAATGGTACATGCAACTCGATGTAGGAAAATACTTCTTACCGCGGGGTTTCTCGGGTCATCCTCAGGGATGTTCCTCTCAACCTTGCCGACAAGATCGGCGCCGACATCCGCGGCCTTGGTGTAAATCCCACCACCAACCCTCCCAAACAGCGCCATGGACGATCCACCGAGCCCATAGCCGGTGATCGACTCGTACAGCCCTTCCCAGTCATCGCCATAGTAGAGACCAAACACCTTGATGGCGACGTAGAGCACCAGGAGGCCCAGGGACGCCAGGAGGAACCCCATGACGGCGCCGGACCGGAACGCGGCGGCGAACGCCGGGCCGATGCCCCTCCTCGCCTCTACCGTGGTCCTCGCGTTCGCGGCCGTGGCGATCCGCATGCCGAGGAAGCCCGACGCGACGGAGGTGGCGGCGCCGAGGAGGAAGGCTATGGTGCTGAACACGGCGTTGGCCAGCGCCGGCTTGCAGGCCTTGCCTCTGGTGTACTGGCAGGGCTGGCTTTCGGTGCTGAACCGGTGTACGGACCCCAGGAAGAGGAAGATGACCACGGCGAAGACCGCCGTGAAGGCGGCCAGGTACTTGTATTGCGTGAACAAGAACGAGTTTGCTCCTGAATGCAAACATGAATCATTTGTCACACGGTTAATTGTAAAAAAAAAAATTCAGACACGAACTGATAGTTGTAGGATTAATCCTAGCAAATTAATAAATTTGTTAGACACTGGTAGATATTTACTATCTCCATTTTCATATAGCCCTTTGCTCGGTGGACCATAATAACACATAAAAATCCAACCCTTTTGTCAGTAATGACAAAAGAGAGTATGCGTGCAGATATCAATATATGCCGAGGCGGGGTATGGCCCATCTTTCAGAAATTTAGTCGGAGCAACTTCCTACCCCGATTGTTCTTTGCATAGTATTGACACTTTTTTTTGAATGTCTCTACCATAAGCAGGAAAGATATGGCTTAACTGTATCAAACTTTTTTTTAAACAATAATTGTATCAAACTTTTTTTCCGAGACAAATTACATAATTGGCATATGGTCTTGCTCTATACTGTTGCGGGTGAGAATACCGATTTTCCTATATTATAATCCCTACACCCCTACACTTTTGCCGCCCCTTTGCTCGCTCTCTAGCTGTCCCCATTGCTAGGGTTCCACTCACCCGCTTGCTATCCTTTCACTTTGTTGGCATTGTCACATTAAAAGATTAAACCTTATAATTATTGAGATTATGTTATTATAGCTTTTAGAATTTCTGCCCCCTCCCTACTCCTTTGTCACCCCTCTGCTCGCCTACCCACCACTACTCTTCCTCCTTATCACCATCAACTTTATAAAATTGAATTATCATCACAAGCGTTCTGTTGCCACTGCATTACTCATTTGTTGTCCCTCGGGTCGCCTTCCTATGACAACCACTGCCCAAGACCGTACCCAGCAATTTTAGGCCCTAGTGAGAAACATAAAACAAAACCTTATATTTAGAAAATATCAATAAAAGTGATACTAAATTGTTCAAAAAAAATATTACGTAAATGGTGGCAGTCACCTCCTTAAGTAAGAAAAATAAGTGCTTCTTAATGTAGTTATTCGATTTTCTTTACCAAGCAGAAAAATGGAATGTTTAGTACCTAGAACGCACATTCATATCACTGTTATAAACTATATTTCTTTAAGGTTGCCATGATTATTATTGAACATCTATTGGACCCAAAGAAAAATAAATATGTTCTAGCCAAATCAGTACATCAAGATGAGGGGAGCTTTTAAAAATACAAAATGAATAGGATAAAAACATATTGGAAATTAGTGTCTTGTATTGAAATATGAGAATTTTGGGGCCCTTGATTTTTGGGGGCCCTGTGCGGTCAGATGGCACATGGCCATCGACGGCACTGCCACTGCCTCCCTATTCCTTCGTCGCCCCTTCATTCGCCTGCCTGCCACCCTTCTCGTTCATTATCAGCGCCACCTTATAAAATAAAACCTATTCTCTCTAAATCGAACATTGTGTACTGTATTTCTCTTTTTTAAAGATATTTTTCTGCTTTTTTTCCCGTAGTTGGCATTGAAAACCAAACAAATTGTCTCAATTAATCTTAAGTTTAGCACCAGATAAATGGTCTGTTGGTTTTCTGTGTGAATGCATGTTGCATGCATGATACTACATGAGTAAGTACAACACAGGGCAGCTAGCGTCTAATCTCTCCGTTCCAAAATAAACAAATCTAGTACGAGATGTAATACATTTTAATACTATGAATATGAACGTACCTCCTAAAATAGTCATAACTTTTCTAAAAAGATAAATTAATAAGAGATATATTACTTTACAAATATACAAGGTCAAATTTGACTTCTACAAGTTGTAAAAAAAGAATAAATTAAACTGAAATTAGTTCATGTATTTTCACAGTTATAATTGTTATAGCTTATAGAAGTTGAATTTAAACTTGCATGTTTGCATCATGAGATATCTCATATAAATATTTTTCTTAGCTTCTTTCAAGGTGACATGTAAGAAACAAGAGGATATCCTCTCCAGAGAAGAAAACACTTTCCCTGTCAATAAGAGGTCAAAATTCAACTAAAGCCCGGTAGAATTCAATATCCTAGACCTAGTGCTAGCATCCACCAGTTTTAGGAGTACACACTCACATATTCAATAAATGTGTGCGCACATGCCCCTTGTACTCTATAAAAAGAAGCCCAATATTTAAGATCAAACTAGTGGGGAAACAAATGCAATGCAAGCTATATTGATTGGGGAAGTATCAAGTGGGCAACCCCTAAATTGGGTGCAACCATGCGCCGTTATTTTGCACCATGGGATCTAAGATGTGTTGTCTAGGTCAAGCCGCTCTTCCCCACTGTGTTTTTTTTTTTGAAAAAATGTCCTTCTCCATTGTTTTTTCGTGTTCTATTCCTTGGCTCCCTCACTCCTCTCTTCCTCCCGCTCTCCCTTCACCACGAGTAAAAACTGCACTTACACCATGTAAAAAATACTCACCTGATTGAATCTGAGTAAAAAAAAAAAGTACAAATAGCTCAATTTAGGGGTAAAAGAATTACCCAAAGATTATTTTTTAAAATGAAAAGTGCTTTGGTGTTGTTGGGGGCGGGGGGGGGGGGGGGGGGGTACAGGTGCTGGCGTTGAGGGGTCACCATCCACGACATCCGCTGTGCCGGCCATCTACTGGCGGTAGCAGTAAGATGTAAACGGGCCAACCCACGAGGCCGATTATAGGCAAAATTTAGCGGGTATCTCGCGGGTTACCTACTAATTTAACTTATAAACGGGTTTATGGGTTGACTCACTTGCTAGATGCGGCAAGCCGGGCCACGATGCAAAAACCTATGGATTACCCCTTATTTGACCTATAAGTGAGCTCGCGAGTCAGTCCGCTTGCATCTCTAAGTAGCACGAGTAGATGTGGTGGCAGTGACGAGATGGAGCAGTAGATCTAGCGACGGGGACAAATGGTGTCATGGGCTGCAGACTCCAAATCAGGCATGAGGGACGGGAGGGCGAGCCACCGACATTGGATTGGGTGTTGAGGATGCGTGGGACAAGCAGATCCAGTGCAGTGACGAGGAGGAACAACCAATCCAGCGATGTCTGTGAGCAGGGAGAGCGGATCTGCTTGTGGGAATGGCTATATATCCATTAGAGAGATGAACGAGGTCATGATGACTACTCCACCGTGCTAGATTCGATGACCTTGGTCTCCACATGGCACTGCCATTGTTGTGTGCACAAAGCTGCTGGTCGTGTTGCCGCTCGACGTCTTGCCGGTCTCAGCGCCGCTCGCACGCCTCATCTCTCGCCTTAGAGCATCTCCAACAACCTCTCCAAGTGACTTTCTAAGCCAAATTTTAGCCATTCTAGCCAAAAAAACATTCTCCAACAGCCTCTCCAACCGGGCTGGCCAAAACCCCCCTCCACTAGCCAAACTTGGCCAGCCAAAAATCATTGGCCAACCGTGGGCCCCACACAGATTCTCCTCCCATCTCCTTGCCGGCTCTCCTCTCTCACATAGCCCCCAGCGCCGCCGGCGCCGTCGTCAGCCGCGATGGCCGCTGTCGTCCGCGCCGTCGCCAGCCGCGACCACCGCCATTGTCCACGCCGTCGCCAGACGACCTCTGCCGCCGTCCGCTTCGCCAGACGACCTCTGCCGCCGTCCACGCCGTCGTCGTGCGACCTCCGCCGCCTCCACGCAACTGGTGTGGGGCGCCGAGGCCGGCGCACCTGGAGGAGATGAGGAGCCGATCAGTGAGGATGGCCTACCCACCAACGGCAGTGCTGACAACGGCAACCGCTCTGCCCTCCCCTCCCTTTCCCCGCAGCGGCTCCTCCTCCTTGATCTGCCCGTCCACGCCGTCGTCCTCGATCTGCCCGCCCAGCGCCGCCGTCGTTGCCTTCCTAGTGCGGCGAGGCAGGGAGGGAGTTGCGGCGGGGTGGCTCAACGCCTTTGCCACCACCTCCGCAGCGTCGCCACCACCGATCCCGCTGGCACCAGTAGGAGCACGAGAAGAGGATTGGAGAGAGGGGGAGGAAGAAGAAAGAGGAGGAGAATGACAGGTGGGGTCCATTGGTTAATAGAGACTAGAGAGTGGAATGTAGAGAGTCTGTTGGAATAGAAGACAAATTTAACTCTCTAAGTTTTTGTTAGGCTAGCCAAATAGGTATTTGGAGAGTTAAAAATGGCCACTCTGTTGGAGATGCTCTTAAGAACAGAGGAAGGGGGAGAGAAGAGAGATTAAGAGAGATGATGGGAAGAGGGAGCTAGGGACTAAATAAAAAAAAAACATTGGATGCGTGTTTTTTTTTCTCGTTAAGAAAATGTGCGGTGGGAAGGAGGGGATGCTACATTTCTAATCCAACGGTGCAAAATGGGGTTTCCATGTTTGCATTGAATTGGGGTTTGCCCCTGGTACTTTCCCATGTTGATTGTTCTTGCTTCTAGCAATATACTGCACTTAAATTAATTAATGGACCAAACTAGCACTGGTTAATAGCGGGTCATGTAAGAAAGCTACGCAAACTAGGTCAAATGGGAAAAATGGGTATTGTGCTTCTTATCTAAGAAAACAAAGACCTCTTCCAAAGGAAACGGAGAAGAAACTGGTGGATACAAGACTCGGAGCAGGAGCGCGTGTTTTTACAACTTGTGCTAATATTACTAAATCAAAGCTTTGACCAGATGACGCCTTTGCTTAGGCGAGGCTAATTGCAATATCATGGATGACTTCATTCACAACTGACTTACGGAATAGAAAGTTGGACAGCAAAAAGATCTAATTAGCTAATTTTTTCTTGCTAGGCGTGTACGTGGTGGAAAGTTAATATGCAGTGGAAAGGAAACAATTGTTAGGGAATCTTGGTGTACTTAATCCTGAACTTTGTTGAATTTGATAATATTTCATTTGCACATTTATTTCTGGTACCATCCCAAAACAGAGTTATTGGTTACTAAGTTTCACACATACACACGTGTATATATATATATATATATATATATATATAATCATGTCATGGTCAGCATCGAAGGATGAAAAAAATGAAAAAATGGCCTGAAATTGTTACCTGCTTCTTCAGCATTCAACGTAAATCCATCGAGTATTGCGAGATCATATTTAGTTTACTTCTGACTTGCTTATATTATCACGAGAAAAAAAATTCCCCCCCAAAAAAACTAAGTATGCAAAAAGAAAAAAAAATCTCCCCAGTAATATAGGGGAAAAAAAATCAACCGTAAAGCCAGGAATGGAAAAAGATTGCTGGCTTTACTACAACAAACCAAGCGAAGAACAGTATAGTTGACAACGGAGCCCAAATGCCGAACGGCAAGACCGATTCTACCGAAGAATTAGGGCTCAGCACACAGAGAGAGAGATCGATCGAAACTCACCAACCCGAATGGCGCTTTGGATCTCCGCGCACCTCGCCATCGCGGCCACGCCGCCGTCGCCGTCGGCCTCCTCGTCGTCCCCGCACCCGCCGTCGTCGTCGTCGACCTCGCCCTCCGGCCGGAACACGGCCCGCCCGGCGCCGCCGTTCCGGGCGGCCGCCGCGGCGGCGGAGTAAGGGGACACCTTCACCCTCGACACGAGGAGCCACTGCCAGACCGCGAACGCGATGCCGACCGCCGCGCACGCCGGTATCACCGCGTCCGCCGCGGACACCATCTCGTCGCAACGCGCGCGCCGCCCCGGCGATCGATCGATCGATCGAGAGAGAGGCGCGTAGGTTTGGTTTGAACGAACTGAACCTGGCAGCAACGGGCGAGATATATTGCGGCGATTTGTTGAGTGTTTTAAGGGAGAGAGAGAGTGAGGGAGAGAGAGGTGGTAACTGCATGCCAAGACTGGCAATATCATTCAGAGGAGAGAGCACCTACCGGCCTCCTATACGTGTTCAAATTAGGAGGTTTTTTGTTTTGCGGGTAGTGTTTAAATGATTAGTTCTAAATTTAACAAAATACATGCAAGTAGAACTAGGCTTGTTCAAGCAAAAGATTATCTGAGTAAAATTAGTCTGCAATGTACAATTTTATTCGTTTGCCCTGATCATATCAACTGGTCAGACGCATGCCTTGCGCTGCCAATTGTGCTCATAAAAGTTTAAAACATGAAGAAAAAAAAACTAAAGCCTACCCCCTCCGATAAAAAAGAAACCTAAGTACATGATGTGGTACATACTAGTACTATGAATCTGGATAGCCCTGTCCAGATTCGTAGTACTCGAATATGTTACATCATGTACTAGGTTTGATTTTTGGAGGTTGTCCAGATTCGTACTACTATAATGCAAAATGTGTTACATTCTATATTAGGTTTGTTTTTTATGGGATGGAAAGAGTACATGCCAATCTTGTTTAACCTTTTCTCACATTTCATGTATATTATTTATTTTTGAGAAATTTGCAAAATCATCCTATAAGTCACTTAAAGTTTGTTATATCACCTCATAAGTCATTTTGTTGCAAATACCCACCCTCCTACTCGGTTTTGTTAGTGCATATGCGCTTAACCGAATCAACATGTTTCCATATATTATGAGCAATCAATGTGTTTTTTATCAAAATTAAATACTTCTATAGTCTTAACATCCACAAATAGAGTTATTGATGAGAGCTTTAATATTGTTGCACTAAGTTTTGCTATATGAAAAAAAAAGTTCAATCAAACATGTAAAATAAATCTGATGCAAGCACTTGAAGAAGACTGATCCGACTAGCTTAGCCTGTAATGACTCTACATCAGCGATAATGGATTGATTTGCTTAGGCACATGCACACTATAGAGTGGTTTTTACAACAAAACTAGGCTGCGTTCGTTTGTAGGGCTTCCCAACTTTCCCCTCTCGTTTTCCGCGCGGACGCTTTTCAAACTGCTAAACGGTGTGTTTTTTGCAAAAATTTTCTATAGAAAAGTTGCTTTTAAAAAAATCATATTAATATATTTTTCAAGTTAGTTTTAGCTAATACTTAATTAATCATGTGTTAATGTGTTTTTCCGTTTTCCGTGCCAGAAAGAAAGTTTCCCAACCAGCACAAACGAGCACTGCCTAAGTAGGCAGTGTTCGTTTGGGTGTGTTGGGAACAAATCTTATGTGCACAGAGAACAGAGAAATACACAGTTTAGCAGTTTGAAAAATTGGTTAATATGATTTTTAAAGCAACTTTCGTATCGATTTTTTTTTCAAAAAATACACAGTTTAGCAGTTTGAAAAACGTGCGCGTGGAAAACGAGGGTGGTGAGTTGGGGCCTAAGTATGAGGTGGATATTTGCAACAAAATAACTTATGGGATAGACCGTCAAACTTGGTGTTTTTTACAATATTCCCCATTAATTTTCTAACCTGTCTCACTTTTGCGTTCATGTGAAAAATGATTACGATGTTAATTCGGACCAAACTCTGGTTGCAAACAGGTTTAATGAACGCTATCTAGCTAGAAAATTGTCGTTGCGTAGGCAAGGTAAACTGGAGTGGAGGGAGGATGGAGCCATGGATGCGATTTGGCTTAGCGGGGAGGTAACGCCGGATGGCTTCGTCAGGAGGTTTTCCCGTTGGACTTGAACGCATAAATAAATAAATAAATGATAGAAAGAAAACAACGGCAGTTTGTCCTTTGGTCAGAGTCGTTTAGTCAACGGTACCAAGCATGTACCAGCCAAATTTTTCAGCATGTGCATGCATGTAATATTTTGAAGTCATACTTATGGATGAAGGATCGTTCAGGCACCAACTGTCGTCTACTCCTGCAAACTACGCCCTTCAAAACAAAATATAAACACTTCTAATACTGTGTTTTCCCCCCTCTTTCCCTAACTCACCTCACTCGTTCTCTATCCGCACGCTTTCCAAACTACTAAACAATGCGTTTTTTTAATAAAAGTTTATATAAAAGTTATTTTAAAACCATATTCATCAATTTTTTAATTTTATTTTAGTTAATACTCCCTCCGTTTCACAATATGTCGACGGGGGATACCCGTAGACCGGATATAGAGGGTATTGGGGTACGCTGGTACGAGGATCTACGTAGTACGACATCAAGCAAACAAGAAACAGAGATTATACTGGTTCAGGCCCCTTGGTAGGTAATAGCCCTAATCCAGTTGATATGAGATTATATGATGGAAACCACAGATTACAAAGGGAATAGTGGAACTCGACGCTACCGACGAGATCGTAATCGAGTTGATCCGACTAGATCTCTCGGTGACTTGGCTCCGATAAGCTCCGGCTTCGTAGGCTGTGGTGGATGTGTTGTCTCTGAGATTCGATGCCTTAGGTCCTCCCGGGGGTCCCTTTTATACCGTAGGTCAACTGGTCTTTAAGTAGGACTCGGAGACATCGGACCCGACACGATACAATGACGACCTAGTTCTATCCGAGTAGGACTCCTTACATCTGTGAACTCCATAATGGATTTCCTTAACTTATACCGAAAACGTTCGTATACGCACAAGCATATCATATCGATATGTGACGTATATCGAAGGGTAGAGGGTATACCTTACCCATAACCTTGACAGTAGCCCCCGACTTCTGCTTAAATGAACTCGTGAAACCGATCGCGACTTCTGATGTCGAAGTTGTCGTCGTTCTCGGTGTGATGATTGAGAGACAAGGAGTGATCGACAATGCCGGGTGAAGCTCAACGGTGATGAGTGAATTTAAATTGAAGTCCGAGAAACTGCCGCGCATAACGGACCCAGAAATTTCCGGTGGCCATCTCTCACCTTTCCTTGGAATTCGCATCGTTGGAGGTGCGTCTATTTAAGGGAGTTTTGGGGATCCAATTTGAGGTCCGCCTGTTGAAAAAACTCTCCAGCTTCCAAGCGTCCCTCGTCTTCTTCGCTCCCGCAAAAACCCTAGCCAGCTCATCTCGGTCCTTTCTACGGCGATCCCCGATGGCAATGGATCTCGACAAGTCTACCTCCACCAGTGCGTCACTGAAGAAACTGCAGGAGGATGGCGCCCTTCCTGGTCACGGGACCGCGGAGAGGGAAGTAGGAGGTACTGAACCCCAGCCTGTCCTGGGTCGCATGGTTGCGGTTGAGGACTTTATTCTCTGCGGTTTTCTTCCTCCGCCTTCTGAATTTCTCCTTTTGGTCTTGAATTTCTATTGTCACGCCCAGAAATTCACTAGTAATTTCCGAACTTATTTGTGCATTAAATCCTCGTCCAGGAATCAGCTGAGGTACACAAACTGACAATTTAATATACAGATTCATCAATAATACAACGGGAAAACAGCAGCGGAATTACGGTCTAGCGATGCTCCGGCTCCACTCCCACAGGCAGCTCAACTGGGGTATAAGCCAAACGTCTTCTCCTTCGCAACTTGTCTTCAATTGAGGTTTGATTGATTATTGCAAGGTGAGCATATGACATACTCAGCAAGCCACACAATAAATATGCAAGTGCACAAAGATACCAAAGGATGGCATAATATAGGGCTCATTTGCAAAAGCAGCATTTAGCAAACATTTGAGAATTGTAAAACAGTAAAGTAATTAATCATCAATATTAATCAACACTGAACAGCACACCCATGCTGCTCAGGCCCAACCATCCTGAACAACCATACCCGGCTGCACAGATCTATCTCCAAACCAGGAATGTACCATTCCAAACATGGAGCTAAATTAATTACCATCAATTACCACATTATTATTAATGAGTAATGTGGGACTAATCACGGAAGACATTGTTCGACCCGCCCATAACCGCGGGCACGGCTATTCGAATAGTTTTACTCTGGCCAGAGGTGTACCACTGTACCCATAAGACACAACCCACTAGCATGTTACCGTGCCCGGCCAGACACGTCACCATGTTGAGTGATTGTGACAAGATCCCTCGCATAACTCAACTCAAAGCAGTGCACCGTTCCTGGATCGTAGTCACCCCCTCAAAAACCAGAGGCATGGACTCCCCAGCGACCCCCGTGGGCTTATCTCCGCCACTTCTCAGTCTGGCACTCCACAATGAGCCTTGCTATACAAAGTGTCCAACCGTTGGCCATTCTGGCTTGTGGTTGGCACTGTTAATGTTTCACGACCGAAACTCGTGAACCGGTCCTTAATTGTCATGAGCACTACCATCAAAACCATGTGCTCACAACCCACCATTATCAAGTTTTAGTTGGCACATTAATTAATTAACCAATCACGATTGACCATCGTGAGCTACCTTTACCATGTACATCATTAAGTAATAATGAAACATTAGTTATCCCAATAGTGTGCTAATGTTTCTAAGTATGGCTAAGCAATTATGTCTAACATCTAGCTGAACAAATATATAAAGCTCAACTAGTCAAATTATAACAACCCAAGGTATCAAGGAATAGAGTAAATCAATGCAAATTGGCCATAACAAAGGAATAATTCATACCACCCGGTGACATTCGAAAATAAATGCACAGTTGAAATAAATAGAGAATTTAAATATAGGATCAACATGCTCAAAGGAATTGTGTTTAGGATCTATGTGACTTGCCTTGCAATAAAGGGTCTTCAATTAATCCTCTTGAGCATTTCCGGCGCACTCGCGAACCTTCAAAACGACGGAAACGACAAGCTAACACGCAAAACGAGGAAAAAGACTAAGAAACTCCAAATAAACAATACATATAAAGTAAACAAACATGTAGATCATAATTTTAGATGAATTATGAGACTTGAACGGCCTCATTCTGACTTCATATGAATTAATTACGAATTTTACAAGATTTAATATAATTAAAGCCCATTTAAAAAGAATTAAATAAATTTAATTCAATTTATGGATAATTTTAATATGTAGATCTTTATTTTATACAACTTTTGCATCTGGAACCACATTAAACCGAGTTACAATGAATTAG